AATTAGCAATAAAGTGTAGTATTGTGCTATTCAATGTCAATTTAATTGTAATGATTTGTTCCATATTAGATTATTATGAATTTATGATTTAATTGTAGTGATTTGTGAAAGGTAAGACTAGGTTTAGTCTTTACCGTTGACAAACATTATTTCAATTCTCCGCGTGCTTAATTTAATTGTGATCTGGCTGATTGCCAATTTAAAATCTAGTGTGAACTAATAATCTAAATGGAGATGTGGAGCAATAAGAGAGATTTGAACAAAGACTTAGAAACATAGACATGCATTTTAAAGTTTTTGAAATCATTAAATGAGATGATATCATTGTAATGAACTGAGTTAATTGGGATAAACATAATACTAGTCATCACATAGCTAGTATTCCAATGAGCTTGATGGAGACTACAAATTAAACTTGCTCTAATTCACAATTATATTTTGAAGGCCAACCCAACATGACATTTTCACAAAATTAATCTTAAATTTAGAGTATTTATTTTTAAAAAAATATTAGATTATTATGAATTTATGATTTAATTGTGGTAATTTGTGCAATGTTAGACTAGGTATAGTCTTTTCTTTTGCCAAACATTATTTTAATTCTCCCCACACTTAATTTAATTGTGATAAGGCTAATTGCAGATTTAAAATCTAGTGTGAACTAATAATCTAAATGGAGATGTGTTGGAGGGATAAGAGAGATTTGAACAAATACTTAGAAACATAGACATGCGTTTTTAAGTTTTTGAAATCATTGAATGAGATGATCATTGTGGTCAAATGAGATAATTAGGGTAAACATATTACTAGTCATCACGTAGCTAGTATTCTGATGAGCTTGATGGAGACTACAAATTAAAATTGCTCTAATTCACAATTATATTTTGAAGGCCTACCTAACATGCACATTTTCACCAAATTAAACATAAATTTAGAGTATTTATTTAAAATATATATATCTTGAATTTTGCTTAATAATGTTTTCTTCAAAATTTCGAGTGTTGTAGGATAATTTAAAGGATTAAAAAAGTTGGTAATTAACTCAATAAAGATACAATCTTGATCCTTATAAGAATGATACTTTCCTAGCATTTTATTGCTTGAAACACCGCGTGCACTTGCATATCACCATATTATTACAAGTCATTTACCACAATCATTCCCCCTTCCACTCTAAGCTCTAGTGAAGAACGACGCGACCTCATTGCTTCCTTCTTGGCATTTGTCCTACTTCCAAATAAGGGGAGTCGTTGCAACTCCTTCCTCGTCAGCCTCCTGACATTCATGCACTCCAATCTTCTCTAGGCCAAATGGCACCCAAATTTCTGCCAAATAGCCCTCCCTCACTCTAAGCCCTAAGGGAGATTTTTGTCTATTTTTTATAATATTTCTTTGCCAATGTTGGAGTGAGAGTAAGTGTATGAAAGTTTGCAAGAGGATTTGGGAGCAACTCCTTGGAGGAAGGACTCCAAGACTATATTGCTACCCTAGTTTTATCTTTCTAACTCTTGTATCTATTTTTATTTTTAATTAGTAATAAAGTGGTGCAATTTTGTGCTACTAGATATGAATTTAATTGTCATGATTTGTGCAATATTAGATTATTATGAATTTATGATTTAATTGTAGTAATTGTGCAATGATAGACTAGGTCTAGTCTTTACTTTTGCCAAACATTATTTCAATTCTCCCCGTGCAAAATTTAATTGTGATATGGCTAATTGCAATTTTAAAATCTAGTGTGCACTAATAGTCTAAATGGAGATGTGGTGGAACAATAAAAGAGATTTGAACAAAAACTTAAAAACATGTATGCATTTTTAAGTTTTTGAAATCATTGAATGAGATGATATCAATGTAGTGAACCGAGTTAATTAGAATAAACATATTACTAGTCATCACGTAGCTAGTATTCCAATGAGCTTGATGAAGCCTACAAATTAAAATTGCTCTAATTCACAATTATATTTTGAAGGCCTACCTAACATGCACATTTTCACCAAATTAATCTTCAATTTAAATTATTTATTTATAAAAAACAATAAAAAATATCTTGAATTTTGTTTAATCTTGTTTTCTTCAAAATTTCAAGTGTCGTAGGATAATTTAAAGGATTAAAAAAGTTAGTAATTAACTCAATAAATATACAATCTTGATCTTTGTATGAATGATACTTTCTTAGCATTTTATTACTTGAAACACTGCGAGAATTTGTATATCACCAAATTATCACAAGTCATTTACCACAATCTTGCCCCCTTCCACTCTAAGCTCTAGTGAAGAACGACGCGACCTCATTGCTACCTTCTCAACATCTGTCCTATTTCCCAATAAGGGGAGTCGTTGCATCTCCCTCCTCATCAGCCTTCTAACATTCATGCATTTCACTCTTCTCTAGGCCAAATGACACCCTAATTTCTATCAACTAACCCTCCATCACAAACCCTTCGCCCTTCCTTAGTCTATCCCCTATTTGAACTCCCTCCAATGGTTGCTCATACACCACCTTCACCACATGCCTACGTTAGTGTGGTCCATAGAGGGATCCTTGCCAACATGCCCACCAAAACCTCCACGAGTGAACTCCCCAACATCAAGGTCAACATCCTTACAAGCAAAAAGTCACCTATCCATGTTCCACCTTTGCCATTTTAATTGCCTCTACATTTGGCTCCTTATTGGTTAGGAGATTTTGAATTATGTCAAAGAGAAAGTCTCCTACAAAATTTATTGTGGGCAGCCCTCGGCCCGATCATCCAATTCGCTCCAACAAACAGGCATGGTTCAGTAGTCAAAGCAACTTCGTCGCTTTCGTGTACCCATCGGACATCAGCTCTTTCGAGGGTTCCTTAGAGACCGATTCACTCCTACAATGCAAGCTTGTGATGCTCTGCTCTAATTATTGTTGATTTCAAACTCTTAACTACATCATAAATACCCTTGATTTGGGGTAAAAGCTAAACCAAAGGTCTTCAAAGCCTTCACATTTCCCCACTCCAGGAATTTCTTCATTGATAACTTTGTAGAGACGTCACATAAAGAATTGTGGGTCAAGAAGTCTCCAGAAGTATTGCCTTCATCCTCCACAACAATGCAAGAAGCTCATTGATGTCATTTTGCTTTGATTTCATTAACCTATGTCCATAGACTGGTTGCACAACCGCAAGACATGTTCATTTGGCATTTAGATATATGTATTGACAAATAAAAATGCACATATTATTCATTCCAAATGCATTAATAGAGTTTGAAATGAGAGAAAAAGTGCAAAATAACATTTTTTGCACTCTGATTCAGACCATTCACTTGTTACAATGACAAAGGTTGAGCAACATTAGCCAGACTTCTAGGCCCTTCAAGTCTAGTCGAACCTCACTTTTAAGCAACTTAGATATCGAACCTCACTTTTAAGCAACTCAGATATCGAACCTCACTTTTAAGCAACTCAGATATCGAACCTCACTTTTAAGCAACTCAGATGATGTCATATATCGACTTGTCCTAATCTACCAAATAGCAACACATCAACCCATCCTCGCTCACGACTTTGAACTATTAACCCATCCTCATCTACTTACCTCTAGCATGTCAACCCACCTTCATCCGCACTACCAACCCATCCTTATTCAGGTGACTTTAGCATATAAGCCTATCTCATTTCCAACTCCCAGCCAAATGCTTAGTATCACAATCATTATTTCTCCCTCTTGTATTTCTCTCCAATCGGAAGAAGCCAAGAAATTAGCACTTTTTCTTTTATTTATAGTGTAACATTCCCCTTCTGCATCATACTCTTAAGTATTGTCATGGAAGAAAACATCGTTTAAAACATTTGAGCTTGATTTAGGGAATGTTTGACAAATAGGATTAAACTTTAGAAGGATTTAGTAAATCATGTAAATTAGGATTTAGTAAATTCTGAGTGTGTTAAATCTTGAAAACTGTTTGGCAAGAGAACTGATAAATCCAATAAAATTGCTTAACAACATAATTCAGAACTTAAATCAGTTAGTTCATTAAAAATTCAAATTTAATTTATGTTTCAAATTTAATTTGTATTTGAAATAATAATTAATTAATTTTAATTTTAATAAATGTTAATAAATTTTTAATTGCTAAGTATACTATTAATTATCTAATTAATTATTTAAGTATTCTATTACTTCTGATTAATTATTATTTCACATACATCTTGTTAATTACAATATTACTTATTTAATTACATCCAAATGATTATTTAATTATTATGTTACATAACTAATTATATGATTATTAACTATAATGCTAATTATTTAAGTAATTTTAAATACAAATATAAATTTTAATTATATCATTAATTATCTAATTAATTTTTGATATTTTATATTATATTAACTAAGCTAAATTAAATTAATTTTTAATTTAAATGATAGGGGTTGCTTTTCAACTTCTCCATTTCTTCGTTGTTGTGCTTCTCCCCGTGGCCATTTCTTCGTTGCTGCTTCTCTTTGTGCGCTTTGCATGAAGTAGTGTTTCATTTCTCCTCGCAACCATTTCTTAGTCGCTTCTTCTCCTTGTTCTACGACGTTGGATTGGAAGTTACAACGGGAGCTCGCTCGCTGCAAAGGTAACCATCTTTCTCCACAATATGGCTGTCACGTCAGAAGCATTTGCTCGCAAGTCCATAAATCCAGTAGCTCGTAAATTCCTTAAACCTGCCGAATGACGGGATTTAGTAAATCCTAAATTTACACCGTAAATCCTTAAATATGGTATTTACGGTCGATTTGGATTTACTGCGCACTCTCAAACCATTAGGCAGGATTTATTATGATAAATCCAAATAAATCCAGCATAAATCCGGCTACCAAATAGCCCCTTAAATATATATATTCATTCCATTTGGTTCCCATTATCTTAAAATAGAAATAACTAAAAAATGACCTAACCTTCGTGCAGTCCAACCAGCAAAACAAAGTGGCTCATATAGCAAAATGAGAAGCTAGGGTTAACAATGTCACCTCTGTTATCTGCGAAATTAGAGTGGTAATGCATTCTAGTAGCCTCCAGCATCTTTGATACATCGTGTGCGCTTTCAGATGCCCTAAGAAAATGTTCATCCAGATCCATCAGCACCTGGAGTAGACTAACATTAGAAGCCGCCGCCACCAACTTCCCCTTCTTCGTCTCCACAGCGCTGGTCGACGCTGCGTGCTGGTGATGCACCACTCCACCATGTTTCTTCTTCCCCAACTTAACTGGAACGGGCGGCTCAATCACAACCTTTTCCGGCGTTACAGGAGGCTCTTCACCAAGATCAACTCCGACTGAGGCTTCCTCAGGCTCCCGTCGAATCTCCTCAGCTTGACTCAGAGACGGCCCCGGCATCGACATATTATGGTCCATGGAGAAGAAGTAGTCCCAGCTCCCCATTCCGCCAGAATCCGGCATTGGAGGCGGGGGAGGCGAAGGCGAGGGATTCGCCCTTGAGGGCCGCGGAGGCGGCGGCGATGGTACAGGGGATGTGGGTACAGGGGTTGCGCCTTCCGGAGCGGCTCCACCGCTGCCATTTCCGCCATGATCTTCATGGAAGTCCTCATCTATTTCATCGTCGTCCTCCTCGCGAATGGCATCATCCATTGTAGATTTCCCGACGTACTCCTTGGGGAGTACCGGCATGCTAACGGACCGCTGTAGAGGCGACGGGGAGAATTCCGGGAGCGGTGGAGGAGGAGGAGGGAGATTCTCCAATGGTGGCGGGACTCCGGTAGTGGAAGAAGCTTGGGGAACGCCAGAAGAGGGAGAAGGACCAATGCCGGCGACAGATGTGGCGGAGACGACAGTTTCCGGAGCTTCGCCCTGGCCGAAGTCGGAGAGAGCGGCACCGGTGTTCTTCAGGGCGACGACGTAGGCTGAGTGAGCGGCAGCGAACGCGTTGCGGGCAGCAACCGCGTCTTTCATGAACTGACGCCGATCTTTGCATCGCGACACCGCTTCCTCGTTCTCAATCCTCGACTGAGCGCAACCCATAGGCGCCGTTCGCTGCCGAGAACGAAATGTGAAATCGATGGGAATGCGAGAGAGGGAGAGAGAGTAGAAAGAGTGGGCAGGCAGTACGGTTGTCGCAGGTGAGGGCTTAAGCAGGACGCTTTTTGCCTCGCAAATCTCAAAATTTAAAACAAATGTTGGTGATTAGGACTTATCGAGAAATGTTACTAATGTGTCACTGCCTTGCTGTTGCTCTCAATTAGAGACACGAGATTACCTAGACAGTCTAGTATAATATTACTATTGCGGCCCTTTTGTTCCCTTCTCTAAATTTTTCGACTTTTGTATGTGTATAAATTTAATTTATCCTTAGTAAGAATTGGGATAGGATGACCATAAATATATTTAACATGTGCTCACTTTGACTTGAATAAAATTATTTATATTTTTTGGATTAAAAAATTTGTGATAGGATATTGAAAATTTAAGAGATTAGATAAATTTTATGCTCGAATCAAAGTTATGGATCAATGTTTGGATTTAGCATCTTAAATTTAAATTTGTTCAAATTGAATAACTCGAAACCAACCTTAAATTTGGGTCAAATTGACGTAAAATTAATTCACCAACAGCCCTACGGTCGATGTGGACTCTGTGCTTGATGATCTTTGAAGTTGTTGGTTTCTTAGTTTTTAGATGAGTGCTGACAAGCTTAAATAAATTCAAACAAAAAATGAAACTAACTCTATTTTTTTATTGTTTAATCAAAATGAGAATAAATTTATATATGTATTTATTTTGGAGAGTATTGATTGATCTACATAAACAAACTCAATATGATTCATAAAATTAATCCAAACAAGCATGAATTTATATGAAATTTTAGACCCTAAAAACACTCAAAATCAAATTTGAAAGCTTTGAAAATCATTTTAGAAGAGTAGGATAGGAAACATGCAATTCTATCCAACAAAGGTAATTGAGCCTTCTCCTTATCTTATAGCCTATACAAGTTACTTGAACTATGGTTGGTAGCTTGTCAAATTGGTTAGCCACAGTCATGTCAAGATTCCTCTCCTTGCAATGAGGTGCTTTGAACTAAGTCAACAAAAGGAGTTCTGACATTCCTTTTGATTGTTATGAAGTGCTTTGAATTGTATGTAGCTCATGGGAAAATATTCAAATATCAAAACTTCATGAAGTTATTATGAATATATACGCCACAAAATCATGAGCAATTTATAACATTGTGTTGCTCCAAAGAGGAAGATTTTTTTCCTTAAAATTGAAGTTTTATTGTCAATTTGAATAGCTTCTAACTTGAATTGAAAATCTTTTAGAATTAAAACAAATATAATCAAGCTTTAGCTTGTGAACCATTAATGCATTGGATTGCTCTAAGAAAGACAAAGGAAAATATGCCAATCTTATGACTAGTCATCTTTGTCTAGACAATAAAATATCACTCAATACTATAAATTATGTTTTAAACATTATACCAATTAGATCATTGATCAAATAACATTATAGTTCTCATAACATTAATAGCCTTGATGAGATACCATTTATTCACTGATTAAAGATTTCTATTTCACTAGTAATTGTTAAACTATCATAGTAAATGGGTAATTGATCACTCAAGCAAACCATGGTCCAAGAGAGCACATCAGGTTAGCCTAGGAGAGCGCATCAAGCTTGCCCATGGGTGGTATCATCTTGTCACTTTTTTAAATTAGGAGATAATGATTTGGGTTATTCAATCCAAGATAATGATTATATATATATATATATATATATATATATATATATA